AATTAAAGTGCCTGTTACTTCTCCCCCATCAATTTTCAATATAAATTCTGTGATAACATTGGCAGAGATGTCATGCTATAGGGAATTTACATACTTCAACATGTGCAACAGTGATGTTGTCTCACGTCTCCTTTTGTATTAAGTTGTTATAAGCTTGTAATGTGTAGTTCTGTGCTCCTTTTAGTGACATGAATGTATAAATATGTAAATGTGCAGGTGGAGAAGAAAATGGATCCTTAAACCAGAGTGCATTTTATGTTCATCCTGGCATTCAGCATTTTATACAGCCATCTCCTACATCTCAAACTAAAGGTGTAGAATCGCATGGAGAAGACATAGGTCAGGTCAGTTTTATCCGCAGTAAGACACATTTATATATTAATAGCACTAGACACACTAAATATGTGAAGTTAGTGAAAATTAACATGACTGGCACTGGACACTGGGTTTCAGTTTCCATTGGGGTGTGGGGATTTATCTTTTCTGTCAGAAAAAACTGCCCACTTGCCTCTGTCTTGTGAAGAAATAAAAATGTGTGGCACTTTATTTGTATTCCCCTACATCCCCTCATGGTTTTGTGATAGATGTGTACAAATACTCTGTCTCTAACCATAAATCAGATAATTTGTGTGAGATTAAATGTTCTCACAATTGAAATATGAAGATGACAGCCATTTGGGATATTGTGCTGTGCAGTCTCGTACAAGTTAACCAACATTTCAGTGGTGCATGCTACCACCATTATCAGGGTAATCACCTCTGAACCATCAGTCATCCTCGGACAAAATGCATTATCACTTGCTTCTCATCTTATCTCTGTGCATCATTGAAAGTTCCTGTTCCATGTTTTAAGTTAGAGAATTAAAAATATTAATATATCCTAAGATCAAGAATATACAATACAGTAACACAGCAAGTCATTTAAATATTATAAAAAATAAATAAATTGTGCCCACTTCTTGTAATTCCAACAGGGCCAGGGTCAGAGTGCTGGAAATAAAAGGGGTGTATTCCCCAGGCAGCGTGTGAGGACACAGCTATCCATAGATGAGAGAAGATTTCTCCTGGCTGTGCAGAGAGGTGACATTAAAGCTACAAAACGGTGTGTAAAAAGGTCTTAAGCCAAAACTCATCTAAATAATATTTAAAAATTCATTTTTTGGTACAAAGAAAACACTAAGCAACACTATTACAAAGATCTATTGGTTAATGTCATGTAAGTAAATAATCCATGTTAATTCTGAGAATCATATGAAACCGATAAATATGCTCTGTGGGCAGAATGAACATTGATTCTTAAAGTAGATGGCACATATATTTGTCACTGCACTTTAAATGGTTAAATTAATGAGGTCACATGAGTTTGTAATTAAACTAGTTTAACATATTATCAAACTACTGTCGACTGTACTATTATTGTGACAGCAAACATCTTGATCATGTTTTACATTTATGTCAGGCTCCTTTAAGGAATCCATAGATTCTTATACAATTAACTTTGGATTTTTTAATTTTTTAAAACAACATTTTAATTATAGAATCATCATAGTTTCTTTATAATCTTTCCACATTCACCACCCATAACCATTCTACCACCCTACCTTATATTTCTATAAGCCTGAAAACAGAACGATGTGATACACCATCACTGAAATAAATAAATGATTCATTTTGAATTTTGTCATCATGGTGCCATAACCATGAAGACCACAATATACATTTTCACCACCAGGAAAACCTCAGATCTTATATAGTTGATTTATTGTGTGAGTAAGTCTCATATTTAGTCTTAATCTTGTAGTTCCTGAAGGTTATCTTATATGACTTCAGTCATTTATGTAAATTACTGAACAGACAATTATTTGAGTGTCACTCAGGCTTCAGGCTCTTTTGGCTGGCTGACATTTTCAGTATTTTTCTGTCTGTCCTTGCAAATGCAAGGGTAATAATTTACAATATGTCACATGACAGCTTCTTCTAATTCTCTTCTCTTCATAATCCTGTTTATGTTTTGTTTGGCATTACAGAACCCCTGCACCTGAAATAGTATAATTAAATAACTTAAGAATTAATCACATCCACCCATTGTTTGATCTAGGATCAATGGCTACTGCAATGCAAGCATTTATTTTGTTCTCAGAGCATCACCACATCAAAACCTTAATGGGGATGGAATAGAAAAGAAAAGGTTATTAATTTTTGGAGATATTATTTTATCAGCCCACAATTAGCCAGTACTGGCTGAAGATCAGACCAATTCCCTCTTGAATAAAAGCTGCAAAATTTACTATCTGCCAAATTCTTAGCAGAAGGATGAAATACAAAAACTGTAAATTTTATTTCTGGATTTAATTTCTTGGAAATGTTTTGCAGGCTTATTGATGCTGATTTTGTGGACAAGGACTGCGTAGATCCAATGGGTCGAACTGCTCTTGTGCTTGCAATTATTAATGAGGACCTGCCGATGGTAAAATTACTCATATCACTTGGTGTAGAGGCACAGGATGCTTTGTTGCATGCAATATCTGAGGAGTTTGTAGAAGCAGTGGAATTGCTTCTTGATCATGAAGAAAAAATAGTAGCAGGAGGACAACAGCATGTAAGAACAACACACTTTGTGCAAAGGGCTTGGAATAAATGCGTAATGGAGAGATTGTGTTCTTGATTGTAGGTCAACACATTTCATCTTTAAAACTAATGGACAGATTTCAAAGAAATTTGGTACTGTGGTACATGCTAGAAGTTGTAATAAGCCTTAATTTATAGGAAATCCAAATTGAATATTATTGTTCACAGAGTTGGGAATCTTTAGCTCCAGAGAGCCGCAGCTTCAGTTCTGATATTACTCCATTGATCCTAGCAGCACATCTAAATCACTTTGAAATTGTCAGAATTTTGTTGGACAGAGGTGCCACCCTTCCTACGCCACATGATATCAGGTACTGAGCTTCAGTTAACAATAAAATCTGTCACAGAATTTGTATTATAATTGTTTATAAATTAATACTCCAGTAAAGTATCAAAATCTAATGAAAATAGATATGTTTATTGTGACTGTGTTTGTTCAGTATGGTATTACAAATAGGTGTGTGAGTCATAATGTTTTCTGTTATATTTTATTCTGTATGTTGAATTGATTGTGTTACATAATGGCACAGGAGAACAGAAGTTAGACTGGAACAATCATGCTGTAATGCATGTTTGCATGTTGACACCGTATTAACTGCAAGACCTGTATAATTGAAAGTAATTTTTGTAGAAACTCAAAGTACTTATGGTTTAATATAATAAATATTTATAACAGGGCACATTCAGTATCTGCAAATAATGTTTTATAGAATTTAAAATCTGACAATAAAAATATTTCAGAGTATGGAATTTACAAGTACATCGAATATAACATTCATATGACCTTTCAGTATCTAATGTGAAAATATTTCTTTTGTTTTATGGGAATATTTAGCAGAGTTAGGTTGGACAGTGCACAAGTGTAAAGTATGGCAATATTTTGAAGTCAGAACAATTTAAATCACTATTATATTTTGTTAATAATGTTATTAAAATATCTGCTTCTATTTTATAAACACTACCTACATAATTTTAGCCAGTAACTTAGCTAGTTATGATATTAAATAAGTACAGAAGGAGAGAAATCATTGTAATTACTTGTAGTGGAAAAGAAATTTTGTATTGTTTTGAGAATCTTTGGACGCTGCATGAAGTTTTATTTTTACTTGAAGATGTGGCTGTTGTGAGTGTGTGACTTCACAGACAAGAGACATTGTTCACCATTCACGTTCAAGAATGAATGCCTTTCGTGCTCTGGCAAGTCCATCACTCATATGTTTGACAGCTAAAGACCCCATTCTGTCAGCCTTTCAATTGTCATGGGAACTTAGGAGACTGAGTTTTGAAGAGACTGAGTTCAGGAGTGAATATGAAGTAAGTGATCATCAGTTCAAAAGCAAATACGAAGCAAGTCATAATTATTTCAGGAGCACCAAGTAAGTAATAGTATGCAGTGAATTGTTTTTTACATCATTGACCCAAAGGTAATGTTCCAAATTTGCAAAAATACACTTCTGTTGTCAAGTAAAAAAGTTTATCTGTGGTAATTCATAGTTAACCAGTGGTAGGATGTGTACCTTTTAAGATGTTATATTCAGTAATCTGTTGTAGGAAGTGAAGAATAAATGCAAGGCCTTTGCCACAGCCTTGCTAGATCACACTCGGAGCTCACATGAACTAGAGATAATTCTTAATTACGATCCACTAGAACCAGTGCTCTACAGTGAAGGACGCATGCACCTTAGGCGCCTCAGACTGGCTATAAAACTGCATCAGAAGGAGGTCAGAATATTTGCTGGTGGATCAGCACAATGTTGTAGATATGCAATGACACAAGTAAAAAGGCAATTTCAATTACGTAATGGAATTTATTTAAAGTAGAAAGAATTTGTATTACGCAAGTTATCAGAACTGTTTGTGATTATGCAGTTTCCCCTTATATATATATAAGAAGTGAAATAAATTGTTCCTTTTGAAAACAATTTGATCAGGATTGTACATATAGAGGTTATTATTTTGTGTTGTGATGTTTTACAGGACAATACTGTCTCTGTTTTCAGCTCTTCATGGCCATGAGAATCTCAAAACTTACAAAATTATATGTAGTTACCACCTACAAGACTATATGCATCATAGCCCACAAGATTAAAATCCACAATTCATATTTTCACCACCTTAACCTTAAGTCTTAAAATGAGGAAATGATTTTGTGTGTTTATTAAACTTATAAAGATCCAGCAGTGAAATACATAGTAATGTTTTCAATTAAATAACAAAACTAAGTGGTAATTAATAAATGTTTACATTGAATTACTAATCTCTCACATTTTTTTCCTGTAGTTTGTCACGCACCCAAATGTTCAGCAACTTCTGGCATCTATCTGGTATGAGGACCTGCCAGGATTTCGACGCAAGAATATGTTTCTTCAGGTGTTTGAAATAGTACGAATTGCTGTTTCATTTCCATTCTTGTCACTCATGTACATTATGGCTCCGAAAAGTTCATATGGGCAGACACTGAAGAAACCATTCATAAAATTTATATGCCATTCAGCATCTTACTTAACATTTCTTGGTAAGTCAGAATTATGGTGCTGAACTTATATATTTAGGTTTGATGGACATATTTTTCCCTCTAGTAATTCGTAAGATGTTATACACACTTGAGATCCTGTATTTCTGTAGTGTGTTCAAAATAGTAGGTAACCCTGGGGCAACATCACAAAGAAATATTCTTCCTGTGCCTAATTGTTGGTCAGATTAGAATGTTATAAAATATCATATACCAAATATATGATGGGTTACTTATTTTTTGCAGACTGATGAAAATATTTTTTTTTCCACACTTTGTTGTTAAAAAGATTGTTTTTCTTTATTCATATTTTTTAAGCAACATACAATGAAAGAAAAACATGCTTTTTCTTGAAAAAAGTTTATGTAAATAATTTTTTCTCTCTCCTCTCTCCACCCCTCACATTTCTCATTTTGGCATCCCCTTTAAGAGATTTGATACAGAGGAAAATATCCTAAGTATTTGCTGGGGTTCAAATCCATGCTGTTTGTTAACAGTTTTTAAATCCACTGGTATACTTACTCATGGTATTCTGATGAGAAATGCATTTTAAAGTTTATTTCCATCTGGAAGTGCATTGAAAATTAGAGATGTAAATATTATACAAAGAAGTTGTAGATTTTGGGTAACATACCATTTATCATTTATATTACTGACTAACTCATTGATGTTATATAATTTATAGTCACATAGAGCTTACTTTCTGACAGTTAAATTATACTTCATTGCCAGTGATTTGGGTGCCACAGTTATGCATGTCTGCTTCATGGTATGATTCCAGCCATACTCGTCTGGGCTTCACAAAAGAAAGGTGATGATGGATTCAAGCGAAATAATAATAATGGACCTAGCAATTACATAACCAGGACATCATCCCAGAGAGCTCAGCCGAGCATTCCAGAATACCTCATCGTTGCATGGCTCTTTGGTAAAGTACACAAGTTAATCAATGCTGAATATGAAGAAAGATGTTGAAGCTGTAAGGAAATACCACATCTTCCCTATTGAATATTGCAGTTGAGAAGTTACAATTCCTGTTTTGTACTTCACAGATACTGGGTTTAGATCTTGACTCAGAGATCAGCTGTTCTTACAGAGATATTTAAATTGTTAATGGTTTCCCTCAGTCCCTCCATACCTTACATCATTTCCAAATATCGTGTTATGAGACACAATAAATCGCATGGTAATTACAGCAGAATTTGGAACCTTGCAGCCGGTATGTTACTATCCATACTGAACACTGGGGAATGAAAGATAATATGTACACATGTCTTCTGTTTGTAAGTGCACAAGATATGTGGATGTTACTCCTCAAACTCGAGATGCCTTTATATATATTTAGGAATGATCAAGTTGGAGGTCAGAAGAATGTTGGGTGAGGAGAACTTGAAGGAATATGTCAAGGACATGTGGAAGCTGATGGATTTGGGAACCACAGGCCTGTATGTGATTGTCATCATTCTACGACTCCTTGCATACTTTGAGGTTAGAAGCTATCTGATTGAGATATGTCACGTTGAATCCTTAATATTTCATTATTGTTTCAATATTAGTAACAGAAGTCCATAGTAATTACGTCTGTTATATAAGTAGCTCCTACAAAAGCTACAGTGACTTCTTTAGACAAACAATCTGTATGTGTAATTCTGTTGGTTGTAATCAGGGATTTTCTCTCAGCATTATGGATGTCATTATTTCTGTGTGGTTTTACTGTGGATTTGATGTGATGAGTTTATGCAATTAAGATTCTTATTACATTCCCCTTCGGAAAGACACACTTTGCATAGTAGAGAATGTGGGAAATTACAATACATTAAAA